GTGAAGAAACGGGACGAAACTGTAGCAGAGGGGCGCGCAGAAATCAGTAGAGCCGCTGGTCGCAAATACGGGATGTAGTTCTGGTGTAGAGGTCAAGATCCATGGCGGAATATTCAACTTACGTGGAACGCGAACGTCTATACAAAGAAACAGTCAGAGAGACGGGAATCCACATGAGCAGAAGTACAGGGTGAAGTAATCCAGTGACCAGCGGAAGAAGCCAAAGGGGAAATTGTAACTACACACGCTTGGGACAAATGTGATCGGGAGCCAAACAAATGTGACCGTACAGAGAAAGGTTGAGCCACGAATGACCCTTACGAGGGTTAGGGGAGGGTCTGCATGGGGGGGTCCTGGCAACGGTTAACGGTGAATTCAGCAGGGCCGATAACGCTTAACGGTAAATTCAGGACGGTCGGCAACGCTTAACGGTAAATTGACTAGACTTTTTTTCGTTCGAGCTGCACTGGATTTGGTATCTCGCTTTGTGAGAAAAGGTGATCACTGAACAAAATTACGTATATCTTACATGTAATGAAGCACGCATTAAAGGTATGTGTACCCTGTGTTCCCCACATGCCCTGGTCCCCGAGTGCGTCCACAAATAAAGGGGAGTCCGAGTCGACGTCAGCCAGCTTGCTATTTTTTCAGTCTGCCCAGTGGATTTTGAGAGGGGAGCGTCGTAATCTAGGAGGTCCGGGGAATGCTCCCCCGGGAAGTTTAGGATTTTTTAAGCCTTCAAAAATGCAATTTCCCACATTTTGAGAGGCAAATCATGGTGTTGAGAGTGTTTGTCGGTCCTTCTGATGTTTTCATATTTTACTCAAGATTTTTGTTAATTTGCCTGTCAAGGTTGACGGATTCTTTAAAAAAAATCTGTAACTCTCCGCAAACTTCCGGAAATTGACAGGAAAGCTGGTTCTGGCTAGAGCCGAAGGGACCGAGCGCAGAAGCCAGAAGCGCGAGTCGAGCGCCAAAGGCGCGAGCAATGTAGGGGGTTCCGGGGGCATTCTCCCCCGGGAAATTTTGTATTTTGAACCTTCAATGACGCATTTTCCTGCACTTTGAAAGGCAAAATTAGGCGTAACGAAGAATTATTCATTAACGCTTAATGCTGAATTTAGGATGACAAATAACGTTTTACGTTGAATTAAAACGACCAATAACGCTTCACGAGGAATATACTGATAACGCTTAACGTTAAATTAGAGCGGGCCGGCAACGATTAACGGTAAATTAAAATAGCCCATAACGGTTAACGAAAAAGGGCATGCAGACCCTCAGAGAATAAAAACATTTTTTAATGAAAATGTAGCTTTCGTTAGGTTTTCAGACTCTTTCGGATCCTTTCATGAACCTTAATATGTCTCCGAAGATTCTGTTTGCGTGCAAAGGCGGTGGTACAGTGTGGGCACTTGTAGGGTTTTTCCCCGGTGTGTTTTCTCACATGAATAACCAAGTCACTGTGGCTACTAGCTTGCAGTCCACACTGTTGGCACTCAAACACTTTCCCACCTAGATGTTTCCTCATGTGAGCACTAAGCGTATGCTTCGTAGCCGCTCTGTACCCACATTCCCCACACATGTAGGGCTTTGCCTTATGCCGAACTTCTTCTTCATTTTCTGCTGTGACTCCCGCTGTCTTTACAGACACAGCCTGTTCACTTGTACCAATGTGTTCTGTTGTTTGGTTGTGAGCTGTTACTTCATCATTTGGCAAGGTCATATCTTTACTGTTAGTGTCCCTACCTCTCTTATCAACAGAACTTTGGTCGTACGTACAGCTCACTAATCTAACTTGTAAAGGTGAGCCATCTACTACTAGGGCTACCTCTTGTGGCCTTGCAGTACCGCTGCCTTTATATAGGTGGAGCTTCTTCATGTGTTTCTGTAAGCGAGAATGGCTGGCTGCCCAGAAGCCACAGACCTCACAGGTGAACCTGCCTGCCTTCCCGTGCACCTTGATGATATGCTCCTGAAAATGGGACCTGTCCGTGGTGCAGTAGGAGCACCTCCGGCACTCCAGGGACACTTTTTCATTGTCTGATGCCTCTCCTAGCTGGATACTTTCGTCAAGACTGCTACAGTCATCTCCCTTTAGTAAAAGTTTTACCGGGTGTTGCCTTGCTCTGTGCCTGGTCAGCCCCCCACGGGTGGCTGCGCGGTAACCGCAGTCGTGACACGAAAATCTTTCATGAGTCTCGATGTGTAGAAACAGCTCAGACCGTTCTGTGGCCAGAAATGAACACTCCGGGCACTTAAATGGTCCCTTGACTGTGTGAGAGCGGATGTGCTGTTCCATCTGTTTAACCAACTTGGAAGTGTACTTACACAAGGGGCAGGAAATAATTACTTGTTTTGCATTACCACTATTACTAGCAGCACTGTTGTGGTCACTGTTAAGTTCTGAGGGTTGAATCATTTCATTAGTTACAACAGGGGATGTTTCTCCATATTCTACACATGATGTTTTGTCAAATGACTCTGCAGTCTCTAGAAGTGTGCCGTTGCTGCTTGCTGCACTGTTGTTGAGGGAAGCGTTGTGTTGATAGTTTCTCTCCTGTAGACTGTGCTGCCTGGCATGCTTCTGAGCTAGGTGCTTAGTCATGGATTTCTTCGTACTTGATGTATATGAGCAAAAATAACACTTCTGTTTTGCCTTCTTCTTGCCTGACATCTTCTTGCACGACGCAAGACCACCACTAGCGTTACCACCCTTTTGTGCAGAGTCTTTTTGCCAGCTTCGAACATGCTGCATGTCCATGTGATTGACCAGACAATATTTCCTTGAAGTTGTATAGTTGCACAAGGAGCAAGCAAACGGCTTCTCCCCAGTGTGCCTGAACATGTGGCGTTTCATCGTCGTTGAGTGAACACTAGTGTAGTCACAGTGTGGACATTGTCGTACACCTTTCCTGTAAGAAGTGTCATTTTCATCAATGATATCCTGATAACAATTCTCATGTTGAGTCTTGAATGCTTCGTCCGTGCACCCAAAGTGGTCATAGATTTCATCATCATCATCATCATCATCTTCTTTCTCATTCTCAATTGTCACATTTATCTCATCAGTCAAGTGTAACGGACCCTCGGTAGTGTCTTCAAAGTGTTCTTGAGTTTCTGTTGCTGTGACAGGAGTGTGCGTGTCTGCTCTATCTGCCCCAACACAGGCAGCGTAAACAGGAAATGGCTCTTCAACTTCCTGTTTGATCCGAGGTACACTGGGAATGTTTCCGGGCTCACTCTCTGTCCCAGGATATCCAGCGCCATCCTCACTCCCTTGTACCCCACTAGAGGATGGACCATTGTTCTGTAGGGAGGGTTCACCCACTGATGTTTGCAGGGCGAAGTACTCTTCCACCATCAGATCCTGTAGCAGAGACAGAAGCTCCCCCCTGTTGAAAGTGGAACGGTCCATGTTCATCCCTCTCCTGTTCAGCTCGATCAGTAGTTCTTCGTAGAAGAGTCGAGGCAGCACGGCGAGAGTGACCTGCTCCGACAGGCCACACATTCCTGCAACAGTCGCCATCTTCACTGGGGCAGCCTGGGGGTAAACCACAGGAAACAATACTGTGTATTAGTATTACAATATCAATGCTGGATATCCATATGTATATTGAATTATGTTGCAGTTGTACACAATAGACAACAAATCACCGGCAAGCATTGTGCAAAGCATTTGATTTTAGAATGCAAACATATACAGTACGTTGTTTCTAAAGAGTCTGATGTAAACAAAAGGTATCAAGAGATTATAGCAATACCAATACATGTAAGTTACATAACCTGGGTTGTGACCCCCTCCCTCCCCCATTACATATAATATCTTACTCATTTTTCCCCGTAAAATATCTTAGAGGAACTCTCTGCCTGACCCGACCGTGTCGTCTGCCACTGCCCGGCCAGACTGCAGGCCTGCCCGCCCTAGCCTGCCCCCCTCACCCCTACTTTGTCCCAGCTGAGCTGAGCTGGGGTTGCAAGGAGGTTCTACTCTACTCTGCAGTACTGACAAGATATAGACTGAGACGTACTCAAGAACAACAGAGTGCGATATTCCGTATTCAACATGCTCGAAGTAGAATACGAATATACGAACTTTCAAGACGTACTAAAATACAGACAGATCAAACTGAGCTGACAAAGTACTGGCGATATAGCACAGAGCGCTCCCAAGGCCAACTGAACCGACCGGTTGACAAGACGTATTTCCTACCCAACCTAGCCAGATTATACATCCTTCGGATCGTTTCAGATAACCAAACATTCACAAGTTTAAACCTTACCTTTTCTAGACTTTTGTCTGACGCCCTGAAAGTAGATAAGCTAGACAAAAACTGTAGAAAATGTGCGTCAGCGTGGCGGCTACGGAAAACAAATATGGCAGACTTACCAATTCTGACCTTTGACACAGAACCAAAACACTGGGTCTCATACCACAAGGTCAGTGGTCTCATAACGATGTGTTTCCAACAGGGGTATTGGCCGTTCCAGTTGACAGGTGGTTGTCACATATGCTATTTTCCGATCATTAAAATGTATATGTATATATTATGAGCTTTTTGGTCAGCTCTAAAAAGGGACTATTCTTTTACTCATGTTTCAAAGATTGGTTTGTTTATTTGTTTGCTTGCTTGTAATTGTTCACACCTCCAACATTCGAAAAAAATGACGTTGTTTTCGACGACGATTCAATCAACTAATGGCTTAGGGTCACAGCGAGTTGCTATCCCCTGGGAAATGCATAATATATATATATAGTTTGTGACGTATGTATTCTCCCATATCCAAGGAGGTTGAATATTTTTTAATATTTTTAAACGTCCTTGCCATGTCGTTTTCAGTGTTGTAACAGTCATGACAGTGGGATCCTTAGTGTGATGATTGATAGTTTCTGGAGAATTATCAATATAAAATATTACAGACATGGCATGGGTTTTGATCCTGCGTGCATGATACTTGGTAAAACGTCAAGGTCATATTAGACACCGCTGTCCCAATTTTGATACGTCACTGTGTGTTGTATAATTAAAGATGACAGCTTTCTTTTGCACTAGTGCCCTCCTGAGGTCAATCTGACGGAAAGGAAAACATGTCATCCACAAAGACACATGTTTTATCTTTCTATGCCACCAAAATACCTTTATTAGGAAGCTTAGCTAAAGTGCCCATGCTATCTCAGACTGAAAGCCTGCTAACTGGCAATACAATTGCAACTTTGCTCATATTAATGTCAGTTTTCGGATGACGTACAATTAGTAATGCATGTAATGTGACCAGTATACGGCGCTGAAAACTACAAATGACAATGGCAGCAACAGTCTGGCTATTTTCTCTATTCTATTGGTGACGTCTTTTGACTTCTTTGTCGGCGCTGTCGGCTCCGGTTGTCTGTACTTTGGTTCCTTGCGGGGAATGAACACAGGTAGTGCCTGGGCCTTGATAACGGATGGATCTGTGGATGTCTCATGGACTGTTGGAGTATTGTTAGCAGGTTCTGTTGCCGTTTGGTTGTTGTTGTTGGCCACCCCGTTTTCACGCGTCGCAGGGTCTTGCTTTGATGAAGCGGCTGTAGCACCATCCTTGGCGATTCGTTTTCCCTTTTTGTGTGAACTGAGGCTCTTGCCCGGTTGCCTTTTCGACTTCTCATTCTCTCGAGGAACCCACAACAATTCCTCCGTGCCGGATTCCATCTCTGGCCCCAGGAAGGTAAAAATGGCGTTTTGACTGTACTTCCTCGGTCTGTCAACATTTGCGGGATCTGGCAATGGCTCTTCTTCCTTCTTTTCTGCAACATATTTTGGTATTTTCTCACTCGACTGTTCCACCCGGTCGACCTTGCTTAACTTATGCTTTCTAGTTTTGTTTTTCTTGTGCTTATTGCGTTTCGTCGTCGGTTCACGAGGCTTCTCAGTCTCAGGTGGTCTCCAGAGAAATTCTTCAGTACCAGACTCCGCCTCCAAGGTTGGACTGTTAACAAACAGATAAGGATTGTGCATCTTAGGCCGAGGGATGCGAACTTTATCAAACACCTTTCGCTCTTCCTCCCTTTTCTTTTTCTGTAAAAACAATGCAAAGATTGTTGAGATTTAACTTTTCAAGCCACATTATGTCACACCAGAACGATTCAAAAGTAGGTTTTAGATTTCTGGTTATTTTCTTTACAAAGTAAGTTGAATCAACCCTACACCATTGCACATAATAATGATTACATTTAGGAAGTGGAGGTGCCAATATATGATGTTACAGTTGTCAGCCATGTTTGTTTACATTCTGGTATTTTGTGGTGGCACCACGAACTAAGTGCGCCTCGTGTTGGTTGTTTTAGCGTCAACCATAAATGTCAAAAATTTGAGATAATTGCACAAATATGTTGAAACCTTGACATAAATTACAATCACAAGAATCTAGCTTCGAATTCCATAAAAAAAATATTTCAATTTTTGGTGGAAAGTGTTACAAAATGTCCTTTTCAGTCAAGACTAGAAATCGCAAAACCACCGCAGCAGAAACAAACGCACCCTGCGTTCCTCCCAGCAGTGTACGTTGTGTGCAACAGCTGTCTCCAGTAACGCTGCAATCACGACGGCAAGGCAGCCAAATAGCCAGACGTCTCTGCCTTGAGCTTCAGTGGCCTAAAGACAGAAACAAAATTATCCTGCACTTTAGCAAGCTAGGATTCCTTGAGCACGGTAAAGATCCGACACACGAAAAAAGTAGGTGTCCTTCTCGGTGTGAGTGGTTCAAACTTTACGATCTGGTGTCATCAGTTTTGACCAAGGACGTTAGTACGTCTGTAGAACGACCTTGGTTTTGACATATAGTCTCATGTTATGTTAATCCCTCCACAAATGTCGTAAATCGTCATAAATATATAAATAAATAATGAGATTACCCTATGAAAACTAATCTGTAATGTCATCATTCGTCAAGAACAAATTGCTCAAAATGTATCCATGTATGTAGTCAGTTAGCTTCATAGCAAAAGCTAATTTCAACGTATTATGGAAGTATCGGTGGCTAATACATGCCAATAAACTCTTTATGTGCTTTATGTGCTTTATTAAACTCCATTAGCGACACACAAGACATACAAAATCAAGTATGTAGCTAATCTTCCTGGAGTTAAAATACAATAATACAAATACACCACATCAAAATTACAACATTATTTACATACAACATTAGACTTAACATTTAAAAGTAACATCACATGTGCCTATCATCATGTGCCTATGTACGCATGTGCTCTAACAACTCCTGCCTAAACCTACTCTTAGTTGCTGCTTGTACCTCATGTGGCAAAGTGTTCCAAACTGTTAAGGATCTATAAATGAAAGTCTTCTTCAGGGCGTTCGTTTTGGGTTTCATTAAACAGTATGTGTTTCGGCTAGCATGACGTGTGTTGTGGCTGTGGTGGTAGGAGACAGGACATAACTGTTTGTAGAGTACTTCTGGTTGATGTGTAGCAATGACCCTCTGTAGCTGAGAGACAGTGTTTACAAGAATCCTTTCCTTGACAGTCTGCCATGACAGAGACGCATGGAGCTGTTGTACTGGGGTTTTGAAGTCACAGTGTAGAACCAGACGAGCTGCTTTGTTTTGCATGACTTGTAGTTGTTGAACATTCTTCTGTGAAGTGGAGGACCAAACTGGTGAGCAGTAGTCAACGTGTGAGAGTGTGAGGCATTCTACTAGCAGCTTAAGTAATGAAGAGTCCAGGTAGGTGGCACATTTCCTTATCATTCCCAATGCACAGGCCATCTTCTTCGCAGTCACTTTTGTATGATTGTCCCAAGTGAGGCACTCATCAAGAGTACTGCCTAGGAGTTTTGTTTCCTTTACTTGCTGGATGACTTGGCCATTAGAATATAAGGTGAGTACTGGGTTCTTTTTATTTTGGTTTACTCCCAACTACCATTGATTTTGTTTGCCTGCATTGAGAAACAACCTGTTCATTAAGACCCAGTCACTTATGTGTTGTAGCTCTTTCTGCAAGGTGGAGTTGATTGTAGAGATTGACGGTGCACATGTGTAAGCGGAAGTATCATCTGCATACATAACTGAGGCAGCCTCCTTTGTGGCTAGAGGAAGATCATTTGTGAATATACTGAAAAGAAGGGGTCCCAGACAGCTCCCTTGAGGTACTCCACATGTGATATCCCTGAAGGAAGAGTTACGGCCATTGTAGTGAACACACTGCAAGCGTTGTGAGAGATAGCTCTCCATCCATTCAACTGCGGCCATACCGAAACCATAGCATTGTAGCTTTCTAAGAAGGTATGCATGATCAACAAGATCAAATGCAGCCGAAAAGTCGAGGAAGATCACTCCTATCAGGTTCCCACAGTCAATGTTACGGTACCAATCATCCACCATTTCCAGGAGAGCTGTGCATGTGGAATAGTGTTTCCTGAAACCATGTTGGTGGGTTGTCATTAAGGAGTTCTGTAAGAAGTACTGGGAGATTTGGTTGTACACAACTCGTTCTGCTATCTTGCTTATGGACGAAAGTAGACTTATCGGTCTTGCGTTCGGTCCACTCAAGCGGGCAGACGTAGACTCTACGCACTAAACATCTTACTCATACATACAATTAAAAATGCCTTTAGTCTTATTAATGGATTGAAAAGTGACTGACCCACAGGACACGGTGAACGCCGATGCTCTGTTTCACCATCACGAGCAGCGCAGTGCTACCCAGAACCACCCGCGCGGAGATGACAGATGTCGTCAGCGGCAGCCATGTTTGAAATAAAGAACACAAGACCACTACGACTGACGGGAAGAACAGGGTGAAGATGTAGCGCCACAGCCGACGTCTCAGGTGCAGCTTGATCCCAACAGTACTATATGTACTTGTCCCTGTAAACAATTATGTGACTAATTTGCATAGTCCATAACGTCAACTTTATAGCCATATTCGCAATAACGTATGATTTGCGAATTTTTTTAAATAATCGTTGAAGGATTTAGGAAGCAACTTGATCATTTTCCCCATTATTCTTTAATGCAAATATCCGAAATCAAAGTTATTACGGCGGTTTTTGCTGTTTTATGGAACTTTTTGTTACTTGTTATTTGACTAGTACATAGTATCGAGCGAAACAGTAGTGATGGGCAAATAGAATCAGCACATTCGTTTACTATAATGAATACAATTTGTAGCTGGTGAGAATGATTTTGCAAATGTATATGCATACAATGTCCTATAACATCAGGACCAGGTCTTTACCTAGCGGGTAGTCTGAACAGTCTCCAAAGTCGTACCGACATTCTCCTATCAGTTCTTTACATCGTTGGCAATCTTCGTCATCATCGCAATCGTGGAACATCGAAAAGTCGCACTCCTCTACACTGTCATAGTCGCACTT